GTGATTAGGGAATGCTGCTGAACAGACAGAAAAGAGCAGAAAGAAGTCCTGGAAAAGACTTCCTACTTCCCACAATGTGAAGAGATTTGAGACATAGATAAGAATAGATAAAAATTTACCCAGTTCTCTGCAATATTTCAGAACCTGGCTCTCATGGTTAAAATGATTATAATCACAGTTATTAACCAAGGAAACATTTCCTACTGATGGCTGCTTAATTGCACCTGAGTTCCTTAATGTTACCTATATGTGATAAAATATAAAAATTATTTTATATTACTTACATAAAGTTATTAGTCCCCAAATCTCAACCCCTTTCCATCATATGGGGATTCATGTGTTGGAGGGTGATGGAGGCATGGTCCCTACTCTGGCAAAGTTGAGGTGCATTTAAGATGGGGGGGGGCGTTCATTTCTCCGGGAGGTGGTTAGGTCATATACAGGTACTTAATTTATGTTTAAAGTACTTCAGTTAAATGGTATTCACTTTATATAGTCTCATTTTATATTTAAGAATCATTTCATCCTACATTACCCACATCTACTTCATTGTTCAGAAGTAGAGTCAATATTTATTGTACAGTCCCTGCTGCTTATAGACATGTGATGTAGACATAAATGATTACTAGGGACAATAAGGGTCTAACTAATTGGGAGCCATTCTGTTTTAATTACCACTGAGTTCATATCTTGACCAAGGCTGTACTATCCATATTGTGGACATAGTTGTTTCATTGAAAAAAATATTCCCATATCTTGTCTGTTCTTGATTGTTGTGCTTCAGGTTTGAGGGTGTATTTCTTAGATCTATTTTAAAGCACAATTTTTTTGTAAGCACAGTCAGTGTGGCAGCTATGAAAGCCGCATGAATGGATAAATGAGAAGGAACTTCACCATTAGCTGAGAGATTGCATGTGGAGGCCAGGTCCAGCATGCACACCTTCGTTATTCTCCCTTAAACCCCAGATATCATCCGTTTCTCACATTTCCCCCTGCAATAACAAAGGACTGGCCTCAGGAGTAAAATAAATGAATGAAATGTCTTTATTTTCACCGCCATTTGGGAGGAACAGTATCCTTTGCGTCCAACACAGTAGGTGCCCTGAGGTGCTGAGCAGACTCTTTGTTGGAAAGGTGGGTACCTGTGCTGTAAGGAGGGCAGGCCATGGTCCCACTGAGTCTTTGTGGGCTGCGCTGGAGTACTCAAGGCTTGGATTTCAGTGGGAAATCTTCATGTGCCACATGGTAAGTCCAAGCAAGAGTGGGTGCATCTTCCTCTGCTGGCTGCTCAGTTCACATAAGCGCAGGCTTGAGTGTTGATTTTGTTTTGTTTCTTAACTTAGCAACATTCCCTACACTATCTGAGCGTCATGGGAGACATGGATACAAGCCCAGGTGAAGCCTGCATGGAGGGCCAGGCCCCAGCTCTTCCATCTTAGGGTCAAATTTGGCTTCCCAGAGGAGGACTCCTTTTAATGTTATCGGTGGTGAACAGGAGTTTATCAGATGTGAGCTTTACCGGGAACAGATCAGCATGGGGAGCAGACATGTATGAGAATATTTTTTTTTTTTCAATGAAACAACAGTGACTACAACATGGATAGCACAGCCCAGGTAAAGCAAAGACTGGGTCAGTTGTGCTCAGTAGTATTATTGATCTCTGAAGACAAGGACCCAATGTTATTTTTGTCTGTTAGGTCAATGCAGGGCTGATTAGTTGAGTAGAGTCCAATCAATGACCCAATCCTGCCACACACACAGGGGTGGTGAGGCCTACAAGACAGTCCGAACATAGTCTCTGAGCCCATGAGGCAGGTCTCACTAAGAAGTGGGTTGTGTGTTGGGTTTGGGGCTAGCCAGGCCCTAGGATTGCACTGTCTCACAAGAGGTGGGGGCTTCTGCACAGTGAAGGCAGACTTCTGTTTTGTGACTTGAGTCCTGGGCAAGGGCTGTGAGAGCCTGTCATCAAACGAGAAGCTCCGGTTTCTATGATCCAGGTGCGTGTGGTTAACAGGAGGGCTTTAGCCCAGGTGAGAGTGGGCCTAGAAGGGCATGTGGCTGGCATCTGATGGAACCACAGAGTTTTGTAACTTGTTCTCAGTGGCCTTCCTTCACCGGAACTAGGCAGCTGAACCTGGGGTAAGAGTAAATAGGACCCCAGTAGGGGAGCCGGTGAATGTAGACTGGGAGCAGGGGACACACTCATGGTAACCCTAATTCTAAGCATTGACTCTGATTTTTGAGAAGTGAACAAATCTCTAAATAATCAAATTAGGATTTCTAAATATTTAAGACCATAAAACTCATCATCAGCTTTTTGATAAAATTGCCGAACCTTTAAGAAAATAGTACCCCATTGTGTTCGGCTGCGTTTGAGTGGGTTCCACAACATGGTGTGGAGAAATTGCAGCTCTGAGGTGGTGACCCTAAGAGTTTCCTTCTCAGGCCAGGTTCCTTGCCCCCTTCATGAGGGCATGTCCCTCATGGGAAACTGCTGCTGGTTCAGGGCCTCCTGCACAGCTATCTGGGGTCATTTGATTTGTAGTTGCACACTTTGCTCTGTGGTCCTGCTGTTTTCCTGGAGCTATACTTATGAACATGACATAGGGTCCATTCCCCCTCCTTTCAAATTCACAGCTAGATACAGTGCTTTTTATTCTCTCCCTGGAGCACCGCCAAGGTGAGGGGTAGGAGCTAGGTTGTGCAGCTTTCTGAGAACAGATCCAAATATTTGACCCTCTTTTACCCCTAACCCCAGCCACCTCTACTGCTCTCTGTGGGGTCTGGCTCTCCATCTCTAATCCATACCATCTTGGGTATCTGACTTGTGCCGAAATCCATTTAGTTGAAGGCTCCAACATGCAATAACCCGTACCTCTGACAACTCCTGGTCTCTGCTTTTAATACTTAGAATCTTTTCTTCCTCCTGCTTGCTGTGTATGTCTGCCCTTGAGACAGAGGTGCTGCAATCTGAATGAGGGAAATGGTAGGAGGTGAAGGTAAATAAGACCACGTGGCAACAGCAACCAAGAGAAACACTAATTATGTAGCAAAACCCAAAAAACTTTGTTGTCTCAAAAATATTTCCCTAAAACATGCTTTTTTCTTTATATTGTTGTAAGTTTGATTTTAACTTCTAAGACTGTTTTGTAAACCAGGTAAATATTTTGTCCTGGACTGAAGTTTTCCAAAGTTTCCTTTCTTTTCTTTTTTTTTTCCAAGCATGCATGCACACACATGCATACACATGCACACACAAAACACACACACACACATTCACAGACACACACAAACATATACACAAGTACACATATATTCGTCCTGGCTCCCAGGCAGGTTGACTCTGGCCTAGGGCAAACATACATTAAACCCAAAGCTTGAATTTTTTATCTGCCAGCATTTAACTGTACCTGTTTGAGCTACTACTTTATGCAATAACTAGTGTGTTGATCACAGATCACTAGTCTGTCTCAAAATAAAACATAAAAAGGGCTGGGATGTGGTTCAGTGGGTAAGTCCCCCTGTTTGTTTGTTTGTTTGTTTGTTTGTTTCTGATTGCATTGCATAGAAGAAGCATCTGTCACATCTGTAGGTGTTACTTGTGTTCTTTGCCCCACAAGTGATATTTGTATCATATTGTGGTACACACAAATCAAATGGTGTCTCCCTGCTCCTGAGAAGACAGGAAACATGGCTTCACAAACCTGTTTCACATGATCATTGTATTTCAAAGTGCAGCTTTCAATCTATGGTTTCTGCTTCTGATGGCCAGGACTCTATGTGCTGTTTTTGCCTTATCCTGGGTCAACCCAGATCAGAAATTACCCAGTGTTTCCAGGAAATAAATTATGCACACTGTACCCTGCACTGCTACAGGAGGGCTCAGTTGGCAGTTACTGCAGTTCCTGTGCAATCTCTTCAGGAATGGCCATTGTGCTTGACTTGTCTGGTGTCAAAAGGTAGAGTTTAGGCCAATACCTAGAGAGTCCAGAGGCAGGTGGCAGCCTAATATCTAGAACAGCATAACACTGGATGCTGGAAGGAAATATCACCCGGGGCCTTGGAGGAAAATGGAACTGCCGTGGGATTACAGTCAGGAGCCCCAGGTGGAACCAAAGCTCAACCCCTTAGGAAAGTTCTGCTGCAGACAAAGTTGCCTAATACCTCTGAGTCTCAGTTTCCTCATCAAAAATAGGGCCAGTAATTGTAGTAGAGTTGTGTTAGCATTAATGAATTCAGACATAACTTTCATACAGCCCCTCACAAGAGGCTTGGCCCATTTTCCCCTCCTTTCACCTTTTCCCTGCCTTCCCTGTTCTAGTGTGTTCATAACCAGAAACCTTGGAAATGCTCCATGCTAGGTTGGGCGGTGACTTGCCAGGGCTACAGAAGAGGGATTATTCATGATGAATGGCTGGGGCAGAAATCAGTAGCAATTTATTATTTGATCAATCTTTCAAAAAAGCAAAAGCATTTTTTCAAAAGGCGGCTAATAGAGAAGCCCAGTCATTAGATGACTAAGCACCTTAGATGCTCTCTCTCGTTGGATGTGAGAGCCATGTGTCCCCAGTGAATGGCTGCGTACATACAGTGACCTGCTAAACACCCAAGGTGTCTATGTCCACACTTGGAAAACTGCTGGACATGTCAATTTTTTTTTTTTTTTAATATTCGTAAAACAGCCAGGCGCAGTGGCACAGGCCTGTGATCATAGTGATTTGGAAGACTGAGGCAGAGGGATCATGAGTTCAAAGCCAACCTCAGCAACTTAGTGAAACCCTGTCTCAAAATAAAACATAAAAAGGGCTAGGGATGTGGCTCAGTGGGTAAGTCCCCCTGGGTTCAATACCTGGTATTAAATATATATATATATGTCTTTTTTTTTCTGCAAAAACATTTGATGCCTGATGTCTTTACAGAAAGTTCAGGAGAATGAAAATATGACCTCATAAAGCACAGCTTGAGGGAGATATGATCTGACCGGTGGACTTGTGTTTCAGGTGTCTCCATGTGAGAGGTGCCGCTGTGAAGCCAACGGTGAAGTGCTCTGCACAGTGTCGGCTTGTCCCCAGACAGAGTGTGTGGACCCCGTGTATGAGCCTGACCAGTGCTGTCCCATCTGCAAAAATGGTATGTGGAATGCCCGTCGGTGACAGGGTGCACCTCTGAGTCCACCATGCATTCTACTCCCTACTTCATGGTAGAAGGAACGTGTACGGATATCTGAGCTTAAATAGAAGTGTTCACACACGCACAAGCATGTGTATGTGACCTTCAGGTCACAGGGTATGGTTGGGACTTGCTGTGTATCAAGGCATTCCCTGTCTTATTGGTGTCAGCCCCATTTTTATGGATGTTAAGAAATTCTTAGGGAAGAAATTCAATTTCCACTATCAAGGAGAGTCACTTATTTTAATTTAGCTTTGTTTGTTCTTGCAAAGCTGTTTCTTTCTTTCCAAGACAAATCAAACATACTGGTTGAGCTCATTTACTTTTCATTACTAAGTGAATTAAACTTGGAACATAATTGAATATTTTTCATAAGCAAATTAGGCAGGGAGAGAGACCCCGGTTCTCAGGAAGAGCCAGTGGTTGATCAGAAGCCATGCCTGCTTCAGGAAAAGAAATGGCAAGATGCCCTTAGTGCTGAGTTACCAGGGACAGGGATTTCTTTTTCTGAATAACTAGGATTGTCTGTACCTGAGTCACTGGGTATCATTCTCCACGAGGGAATATAATGAGAGCCAGAATGGGTGAGAAGTATGGCTCAAGAGGGAGATTTGGCAAGGAGAAGAGAGTACCTTGGAAGAGAGCAGAATCAGGAAACACAGCTGTCATCTTCAGGATCTGATGGTTGTGTGTGACAAGAGGGTCTGGGTCTTCTAGATGTCGACACATGGTGTATGCTTCTGGTACTCTGTGTGGGAGCATTTTGGGCTAACTTGTGTCCTCTGCCTGCTGGACCAAGGCTTGATGACTTTGTGATAATGGGCTTTGTAAGTTGCAGACAAGCTCTGGGAGCATGGTTTACACAGGTGTTAATGGTGTCCTCGGCAACTCTGTGAATCTGCAATCATGCCAATCATACATGGATCGGGAAGTACCGTGGAACTCTTTGACTGGGTACATACACCCAAATTGCACCACAAAGCATTGTAACACACTTCAAATATGTAAGAAAATCAGGAGATGAAATATCTTTCGAGAACAGACTTGTCAAAGCATGACTGTTGTAGTAGGAATGCAATAATTACCAGGTTGCCATGTGTATAGTCCTCTGAATGTAAGTGGACAGTGACCAAAGAAAAATGACACAAAGTGTAATTCATGAGGGGTTGGCTGTTCTTTAGTGCATGTTTATTATGAAAAAACCATGAGGATAATTCCATAAAATGAGAATGTGAAACTTTGGACATAGAGTATGTTCTTTTAAAAAAATGATGTTGAAAAATTACAGTAAGGTAGAGGGGACACCAATACAGTTTATACTACTAGCATAAATTGGTAATAATGGGGTGGGGTGGAGTTGGGGAAGGAGAAGCAGGTAGAGGCCAGGGGAGTCTCCTTGGGATTGGGATGTGGCAATACAGTAACACTGTGAAGAGTTGGCCTACACCTCAGGACTGTTGGGAGATGGTGAAGATAGGATTCTCATGTAGTTCCCTGTGTGGAGAACTGGGACCAGAGAATAACTCCTCATTGAGTCAGATGAGATTTAGCTAATGATTTAAACACTGGTGGCTGAAATACTTGGCATTTTAAGTGCCCAAAATATTTCATACTTTTCTTGGTTAGTTATGGTTAGAAACCAATTTTGGCATTAGAGAGTCATGGATGGAATCCTGATTTGGAACAATAGGTAGGAAGTCAGAATTTCAGTCCTTGGGTCTGTTTTATCTGCCTTTCCCATAAGAAAAATTTCAGACCAATGGAAAAGCTGAAATAATTCTACAATGAGTAATTATATACCCTTCTCTATATTTGCCTCTTGTTGATGTTTAGCCATATTTACTTCCTTTGTCTTTTCACCTCACAACCCAGCTCTGAAAACCAGTACCGTCAGTGTATTTACTCATTTGTTCTGTCCCATAATATGCAGAGTCATTTCTGTTTACCCTACCACCAACATGAAACCTAACCAGTAGAGATCAAGAGTTCTTTGCAGTTCTTTTATCCTAGTTAAGGTACAGAGTCAGAAAATATTTGAATTAATTCTTTGTCATGTTAAAATTTATGAAGATATAATTTATTTCTGTTTGCATTCAACTTTTGCATCATTTAAGGTATCATTTTACTTATTTATTTATAGATACTGGGGATTGAACCCAGGGACAGTCAATCTCTGAGCCATATCTTCAGTCTTTTTTTTTTTTAATTTGATTTTGAGACGGGGTCTTGCTAAGTTGACCAGACTGGCCTTGACCTTGGAATCATACTTCCTCGGCTTTTCAAGTCACTAGGATTATAGGTGTACACTACCATGCCTGGCAAGTTTTTTTTTTTTGTGTGTGTGTGTGTGTGTAGGCAAAATGTGTTTGAAAGTGTGTTTTATTATTGGATTGATGGTTTAGGAAGAGAGTAGAAGGCAATCCACCCTGATGATAAACTTCCAAGTGTTCACCCTTCACCTCTATAGTTTGAGAAACAGCACAGGTCAAAATTAGACATGGTTTTTAGGGCGACAGTTGAGAGATTTCTTAGAAGGATGAATATTTTTAAACTAGATTTATATTACATAAGGCTTTGTATTAAGAGACTTGAGCCCATTGTATCAAAACATCCACCAGTTTTTATTTTCAAGACTACAACTAAAAATAAGTTGGAATGTATTTAATTATGTACATATTTTGAAATTTTGTTCTGTTTACCAGAGAGAACTTGGCTTTAAGCTGTATCCAGTTGTCGGGTACTCTGACTTTGATGGGTCAAATCAAGTGTAGAATTTTGAGTAAAAATGATTTGCTCAAAAATGAAAGCCGATTCTGTCAGAAGTGAATGCTCTGTAGTAATGGACTGAGGTTAATGAATAATTTACAGTAGTCCAACCCTGCCACCACACACACACACACACACACACACACACACAAATAATGTTTTTATAAAAAAGATTCTATCTGAATATTGAAAATTAGAATACATCCATAAAAAGAGATGCTTTATATGAAATTAAATTCGAGGATAGACTTAGCTTGGATGAAGTACCAAGGTTCTAACTCTTGATCTCTACAGACCAGCCCCTCCTCCTCATGTCTTGACCTATGGCATTAAATAGCTTTTTCTCCCAATGGAAGGAAAATTACAGTTCACTGTGAGCTGCCAAAGTCCCTTGCATCAAAGGAGCAAAAGTTTGAAATGAAGAATGTCTTGAATATAAATAAATGATCACAAATCAAATACAGTTTAATATATTCACTTTGCTGACTTGTGTAGATCAGTCTCCCAAGGTTTTTCTTTTGATAAAATGGATGTTCTGTGGTTGAGTTTGTTTGGGTTTTTTTGTTTGTTTTGTTTTGTTTTATTCTCTTTTTCTTCCCGCACAATGATGTAAACAGCAAGTATCATATTGATGTTCAAGGATTCAGGTTTTCTCTGGTGATTGATGTACTTCAGAAGTTCACAGCACCCTTTCCATTTGAGCCCCTGGGTCTCAGATGTGCTTGTCAGCATTAAGTAGGCCTGAGGTTCCCATTAGTGATCAGTAGGCCTCCCTTTGGCATGTGTACAGCCATCTTACTTTATGGATACCAAGGAAGAGAACCGATAAAAAGCAGGAATCGGTGGTGTAGTATGAACGCCGTGTTAGCTATGCATCTCAAAGGTAGAAGATGGTACCTAAGGGGCGTGTGATGTATACCAGCAGCACACAGGCACTATACAAAGATTACATCTCTCCCAAAGGTCTCACTGCTACTTGATGGCAGTTATTTGAAGCTTTATTTTCATAGGAAAATAAATATAGCTATTTGGGGGAGGAAAATAAAAAACATTTATGAAATGGATAAGATGAACAATGAGCTTTCAAATGAGTAGATGTACTGCTATGGAAATTATGTGAGACGCACTGACTGAGAATTAAGCAAGAATTTTCTTTCGGTTGTTTGTTTTCTTGTGTATCTCAGAGAAGGACAAGTTCATAGTTAAAATTTATGGAGTGAGTTCAACAAAACCAAATGGGATGCTTATGGGTGGGGGTGGGTATGTTTCAGATCAAGATTCTCTCATAAAAGCCTCCTCGAATATGGCCTTACCATGGAATACTTCCAAAATTTTCACCAAGGAAATAATATCCTATCATAAAGAAATGCTCATCATTATTTACAGATGATATGATTGTGCCCATAAGAAATAAAGGAATTCCCAAATATCAAAATAAATAGTTAGTTGTAGTAAGGATTTTAGCAATGTTTTAAAAAAGGCTGTATTTCTATATGAGCACAAAAAAATGTAGAAATGCATTAAAAACTACAGTTTCAAATAATATTATGTATATTAGATTAAATAAATCCAACTAAATTTTGTAAGATCACTACAGTTAAAAATCATTAAAGTTTTATTGAGAAATTCAAGAATCCCTGAGGAAATGGTGGCATACAACATATTCACAAGAGACTCAATAATGTAAAGAAGTCAAGCTGATTCAAATTTATCTATTGATTGAGCACAAGTCCAGTAAAAAATTTTAATAATTATTATTAAATTTTTTTTGTGCATGGAAAATACCAGATTGGTTCTAAACTCCAAATGGGAATATAAGAGTTAAAAGTAGCCCAGTGAAAAATTGAAAAACAGTAAGCCTGGAAAGTGTATATGATGAGAGAGATTAAGACTCAAAGTCACAATAAGTAACATACTGCAATATGGTCTAAAAGACTGACAAATGGAGCAGAATTGAGTTGAAAAGAGCTGTGTATGTAAGATTAGCAGCTTTATGTCTAAGCTGATACTGCAGGATAGTAGGCAAAAGAGTAGTCATTCCAATGATTGGTGTTCAACCACAAATAGGTAAATAAATTCCCTACAGATTACAGATTTAGATATTAAGGCTAATACAATAATGCTTTTAGAGGAAAACACAGGAGAACATCTTCATGATTTTGCCTAGATGATGATTAATTTTAAAAGAACACTAA